AGTTTTTGAAATATTGATGTTTAATAATTTATAATGGGAGTCAATGGAGACTTGTATTGGTCCAATACTGCCCCCTGCTATATCTACTCAGTACTGAACTATTGTTTAATAATATATAATCTCAATAGTTCAGTGGTTACAATACTAATATGACTGTATTTTGATGTTTTACTATAATATTGTCCAAATATTGCTCTGTTTCTTTAATATATTGCAGTTTAGTGTCAACAATTGCATTGGCAATGTGGCCTCTTTCTGCACACATACAAACCAAACCCTGGCAGTGCCCTCTGCCACAGCTCCAATGGTCTCATGGTTAACTCTATGGGAATTCATGTGGGAGATCAGGGTTCAAAACCCAGCTACTGTAACTTTAACAAAAAATCTCTACAAACTTCATATTGTTACACAATTACCCTCATTATAGACACCTGCTGACTTGACAAGCACAAGTTGGTAGAAAACACATTTGAACTTGGTCACATTTCATTCTGCAAGTCCACTGTTGCAGGCAAAGCAATGCACACTTGTTTTTACATCGTAAAAACCCATGTCTAGTTAGTGTTAATTTTGTATTTTGTGCACTATCTACAGTTTGTAAAGTAACTAGTAAACCTGTACAGATGCTGCTGTGACGCCTGAATTTCCTCTCGGCAGGACAATAAAGGCTATTTTATTCTTCTATTCTATCCTATAATATTTGAATTTATCTGTTTTGCTCAAACATACTCATTAAAAAGACTAATAAACAAAATTTATGCAATAAAAAAAAACAAAATTTGCACTTTTCCCCCTCCTATTAATAAATAATGTGTACTTCAAATAAAAATTTATAAAAAAAGTTGCCAAATACCAAGAGAAAATGTTAAACCCAGAAGCTTCACAAAAGTACTGTGTTCAACATGAATTAATGTGGTCTTGTTATTGGATTAACTGAACTGAGCTCATGTCTGAAGGGGGCTTTGTTATAATCAAACAGGAGTTCTGATCAAGACAAACATTTCTGTGCCAAAATGACGGAGATTTGCAGGAAGTGGTGCGTTCTTTTTTTCTGAGAGAAGTGTTTTTTTTACATAAATCTGAAAATAAATAGAATCAGAGCTCAGAGATGTGAGGTTAATGAGTAGCAGCTCGTAACTCCTGATCACTAACAAACTTCACATGTTCATCTGGTGTGCTGCTAATGAGCCTCATGTGAATTTAAAGGACCAGAAATGGACTCAAACTATGTGATCCAGAACTTGAAAGACCAGATGAACTTTACCTAACTATCCCACTAAATAATTCAATAAACTGATGTTTGATTAAAATTAAATATTTATTGAACTTTTCATTTCAACATGTGACATTATGTGTAAATGTGCATGTGCTTTTAAACAGAAACCATCCGGGCACGAGTTACAGGTTAATAAAATGAAGAAAGCAGGTTATTAGAGACGCACAGATACAGATCGATGAGACGGAGATAAAGAAGCTGAACACTACCTGATTGGTAACAAAAGCTGAACACTAACAAAACGCCACGAGAATCCACAC